AATGCTTAGAATAGGCCAATCTGTGAAAACAGAAAGTGGACTATTGGGTTCTCAGGGCTCATGGGAGTGGGAGGAAATGGGAAGTGACTACTAATGGGTATGTAGTTTTTTGGGGGATGATGACATTATTCCAGTAGGTAAGAAGTGATGGCTGAATATCTGCCACAATCATTGTGCATTGCCCATGCTGAGAGAATAAACTGTAAATTATGAACATTTCAGTCATGGATAGAGTGGGGTGCAATGAGGTACACTTCAACCAGGATCTAGTCAAGGTTATGGGGCTCAGATTTCCCCCTCCTTACTACCATGAGTGAGCCTTAACTTTAAATCAAATATTTGCACAGAAGGGACTTTTAATTTAGAACAAATTTAAAAATATATATATATATATGTTTATTTTGGAGAACGAGAGAGACAGAGCACTAAGGGCAGAGAGAGAGGGAGACATGGAATCAGAAGCAGGCTCTGGGCTCCGCGCTGTCAGCAGAGAGCCCGAAGCAGGGCTCAAACTCACTAAGCGTGAGACATCACCTGAGCTGGAGTCAGATACTTAACTGATTGAGCCACCCAGGTGCCCCCAAATATATGTTTATATTTTAATTGACAACATTACTCCTTACCCATCCATAACTCTGCTCCCAGGCAACTGGAATAAGGTGTTCCAGAACATGATGAGTGCAGTTATAGCAAAGTAACTATATGTTTATGATTGAATTTAGAGGTGGGGCACAGTTGTGGTATATACATTTTCATACCCCATTATATGCCTAAAGAAGAGTAGATAATTGGGGCGCCTGGATGGCTCAGTAGTTTAAGCGTCCAACTTTGACCTAGGTCATGGTCTCGCTGTTTCCGAGTTCGAGCCTCACATTGGACTCTGTGCTGACAGCTCAGAGCCTAGAGCCTGCTTCAGATTCTGTGTTTCCTTCTCTCTCTACCCCTTCCCCATTCTCTCTACCCCTTCCCCATTCTCTCTCTCAAAAATAAACATTAAAAAAAAGAAGAGTAGATGAAGTCTTTAAGGAGGAGAGAAAAGAGAGTCACACAAAGATTGTCCAAACTATGGTCAACACCTTCATGTTTTAGTTGCACATGACTCCTCTCACTGCCCAAATATTACTCTTTTTGATTACATCCTCCCTAAAAAGCTTCCCTCTTGAATCTACAACTAGCTAGTATTGTTGTATCATTGAATCCTTCCATATCAGTGTAGATACTAGCATATCTAAATCTCATTAAGGAGTTTAAATAACTTTGTCTCAAGGAAATATTTAGCAAAACAACATTCAACAAGGTTGCACTCCAGTTAAGATAGAAGATACAAATGAAACAACTAGAAACTAGTCCGAAGTAGATCCTAGTCCTTTCGGTCATTAAGGTGTTCATTGGATAAAGAAAGGATCTGGGAGGGAAGATGGGTTTTGTCATGAAGAAAACAAAATGGGATTTATCTACTTGAATTGAAAAGCAGGTAAAGAATCCCAGTATTTATTCACATATTCACTCAACTATAAAAGGGAACTAATCACCACCTCCACCACCACAACCATGTGTTACATGTGTACAAGGTTAGATCAAAGTGGTAGCTAATAATATTACATTCTGCAGTTGTTCAAGGATGACAGTTGAGAAAGTTTGATGACAGAGGATAAAAATAACACTTGTTTGGGCATAAATGGAAGGTTTTTTTTTTTTTCATTGAACCATGGGAACATTCTTTGTTCCACCCACATCTCCAGAAATCTAAGAAAATAACTTTGTGACACTAACCAGTATTTACTATCTCATCAAATTATAATGACTGCCTATTTTCTGAAATAAAATATGACTGTATTGGTAAACATATGGATACATTGAGGTAATGATAACATAATCAGTAATTATTGGGTTAAATTCAATTTTGAGTTTTCCCACATAGCAAATAATGTGCATAACCTTTGTTCAAGCAGTTTTTCACCCTCGTATAATAAAACATTTGACAAGAGTTAGCTAATAGCAATTTAGAGGCAAATGTAGGGGCAGAAATGCTTATAGTTTGAATGTGCTTTGTTGACAAAGAGATGATGGCCTATTTATTTATTTTTTTATTTAAAAGAAACATGAAATCTTTACCTCCAGCTCGACAGGTTGTAACAAAAAGCAGAAGGCACCTTAACGTTTCTTTTGGAGGGTATTATCACTTTGCTCCAGTATCAGTGGTGGGTAGAAACACATGTGCTCTATCACACTTTGACCTTTACACTTGAAGTCAAGAGAATCCTGAGCAAGGTCAGTTTTTCCATCTAGTGTGCACTTTGCTTAGATGTAGAAAAAACCAAACGAACAAGAAAGCAACCAAAAAACCATTTTCACAGAATTTGATCTGTAGATTTCATTTATGGTTGAATGAAATATCTTTGTTTCTATGCTGGTGACTTTGCAAGAAAACAAGGCCAGGAGAGGCATTTCCTCAAAGGCTAAAAGGAGGCATTACCACCACCACCACTACTTGCCAGGGGATTTGCAAAGCATGTTGAGGCTCAAGGTTAGCATGGGAGCTGAGCCAGGCTGACGAGAAGTTAACACAGAGAAAGGTTAGAGTGGTCCCCCGCTCCCCCCCCCACCTTACGACAAAGTACTTCAGATAGTAACTCCCAGTGGTCAGATAATGGTGTATTTTCTCCAACGATCAGGTTTGGGATTGTCTATTTTCTTTATGCTTGTGAAGTTTGAAATTGGCATTTCAAATCCTTGGGGGGAAAGCTATTTTTGTAATTCAGCTGGGATGTTCTTGTCTTAGGGTTTCCCATTGCATCAGTCCCTTAGCCTGGTACTATAGCCATGAGAGTGCTGTGTCTTTTAGATAAAATGCAGAAATAAGGACATGATTATGGTGCTTATTAAAGATTCCTTGCTATTTTTCACAAGAGTAGGGGCGTTAGACTCTTGTCTACTGGCCAGATTCTAAATTGGGAGATTACATTCTGCTTTCCTAAATCCCCCTAGCAGAAGCAGCCATCCATGGTATCCTACTTTGCCTCCTTTGCTAAACTGTTGTGTGATCTCATTGAATGGTGTTGGTTTTCTACTCTAGAAGTGGTCACTTCTTAGTGGAGTGCTGAGGAAATCAGTACATATTGTCTGATATTGTATTTGACCCAGTTGCAGACAAGTTAAAAAGCAGGCTCTGAGAGTTAAAGATAAAGTACAAAACAAAACACCTTAACAGTGTAGCAGTGGTTGTGGAGCATTTTTTAAAAAAACAATCTGCTTTCTCTTCTACAACATAGACCAAAAAAAAAAAAAATCAATCCTTTTTTTTTTTTTTTTTTTAACTCCACTAGTAGTGGACAAAGAATTGTCATTTGCCTCAAACAGGAAGATCATTCTAACAGTGATGATGAGGTTTGAGAGGATGAGCTCACATACCACAAACCAGTTAACCCATCTCTTTTGTCCTTGGGCTGCTTTTAACCATTCTAGACAGCTGATCTATCTCATAAAGTCTCTTTTTAAGGAGGTTTTTCATCTTTCCTTGGTGATATATTTTAGTGTTCCTGAACACTATGAATAAGACAATGAAGTTCTCATTTTTGTTTAAACTCCATTCCACCCACTGTCATTTAATGTCACCATCTTTTATCCATTGCTAACCCTGCTATTGTGTCATGGTTTTGAGACGCACTATAGCACAATGGCATGGTTTTTGAAATCAGACATTTAAATCCTTGCTCTATCACTTTCTAGGTGTGTGATGTTGAGTGATTTACTTCAAGGTTCAATTTCCTCATCGCTAAATGAGCAATCTCAGGGGGTTACAGTGAAGATCAAATGAGAGGATATATTATTTTGAAGGGTTATGGGGTAAGGTGAGGTATAGTACTTGGCACCCAAAATATAGTGCTCAATAAAGAGTAGTTATTTATTGGATTGTGTGCACAGATTTGACTTAATTCATAAACTCTTTGAGAGTGGGAAGCCTACTTCCTGGTTTTCTACATAGTACAGTGTTGTGCACGTAGTATGGTGCAGGGGATCAGTATTTATTGCATGAATGAACTCTTTTTTTCCTGTGTGGAATAAACAGCCCTGAGCTATTTGCAAGATCCCATTTATCTCAAAGGTGACAAGATAAATCAATACTCTGATATCTCCAAATCTACTGACACCTGACTTTGTCTAGATGCTTTGGCATGTTGTAGACACAACGCAAATAACTTACACTTTCTGTTTCTATCAGGCTAATTTCTATGAATTTTAACATTTCAGTTGTCTTAGGTGCCCAGAATGGGACTGATTCAATCATACGCCTGCTCATTCATCCAAGCATTCTTTGAGAATTTTTTTAATGAATACTAAGAACCATCTAATTATATACCTGAACAAAACCTTCCAACTTGTGACTAAGTACACTACCTGCCCTATTTACCTGTGAGATCTGTGCTAACTACAGATATATTTCTAATTGCTTTGCACCCAAGCCGAAAAACTAAAACCCCACAAAACAAGCACCCACCGCCGCAAGTTTCTGAGCACAATCAACATCCTTAAACAACGGAGGCATTGGTTAGGACTTTATTTTTTGCTTTTAAACATTTGCACGGCGCTAGGAGGGAAAGTTGGGGGAACAAGGGAGGGGTACATAGATTCGACTAGGCTTGAATACCTGTCAATAAGGAGTATTGCTCTTCGCCATAATCTTGGAAAACCCCTGGTGCGTGCTTAGATGGACATTAAAGCGACTGCAGTGTGGCCATTTCCCTGATGGCTTTGTACATACTTTATAGGGGCGGTCTCAGGTGTGGAGCTCCAAGCACCTGCTTGCTCAACTCCCGAAGTTCAGAAACCAGCGTATTTGAGGCCGGTGGCTCAGGTTTCAAGTAACTCGGCTCAAGTGTCCCTAACACTATGTGCAGTGCGGGTCATCGAGCTGTGTTTTGGAACTTGGATATTTAACTTCGGACTTTCTTCTTCCTTCCCCCTCCGCCCTCCCGCCCACTAGTTTTCCTTTCCCTTCTTCCTCTCATGGAGTGCCCACCTCCTTCCTTTGCTTCCACTCTCTGCTTTCTCGTTCTCGTTTCCTTCTCCTTTCTCTCTCCTGGGCTTCCCGTCTTTCATGCATCCTCTGAGGGCCACCAGTGCTTCAGGCTGTGCGGCTCAGAGAAGGCGCGAGTCCTCGCGGGACAGGCGCGAGGTGCAGAGCAGCGAAAGCGCGGGGCGCGCACAGGGGCGCGCGCCGGGCAGCCGCGTGGCCGGGCGGCCGGCTGGGAAGCGGCGCGCGCGCGCCCCGCGAGCCCCTGGCGCGCCCCCGGCGGCCGGGGCCGCAGCGTGCTCGCCCCCGCCGCCAGCTCGCCTCACTTATGGGTCGGAAGCGCTGCGTGGGGGAGACTGTTCCAAGATGGCGGCGGGTTGCTGCGGGGTGAAGAAGCAGAAACTGTCCAGTTCGCCCCCCTCTGGCTCGGGTGGCGGTGGTGGCGCCTCCTCCTCCTCCCACTGCAGCGGAGAGAGCCAGTGCCGAGCTGGGGAGCTGGGACTAGGAGGCGCCGGCACGCGGCTCAACGGGCTGGGAGGTCTAGCCGGAGGAGGTAGCGGCGGCGGCTGTAACCTCTCTCCCCCCCAGGGCTGCGGCGGCGGCGGCGGGGGGATTTCCCTGTCGCCACCTCCGAGCTGCGGAGTGGGGACCCTACTTTCTACCCCGGCCGCCGCCACCTCTTCCTCGCCCTCCTTGTCGTCCGCCGCTTCGTCCTCATCGCCCGGCTCCCGGAAGATGGTGGTGTCAGCGGAGATGTGCTGCTTTTGCTTCGATGTGCTCTACTGTCACCTGTACGGATACCAGCAGCCCCGGACCCCCCGGTTCACCAACGAGCCCTAGTGAGTACCGTGCCCTCGGTCTCCCTTCTCTTGCGCTCGGGATGGGGCTCAGAGTTGAAGCAAAGTATGAGTCCGCCTGCCCGCCGGCGGTGGCCCCTGCCCCTCTCTTTGCCCGGTCCCCGGAGCCACTCGACCTAAGTAAGGCAAGGCATCCCGCACTTTCTGCCCTCCAAGGCAAGCACCCCTCACTTGGAGCAGGGTGCTGCAACAAGAGATGGCTTACTGGTTCCCAAAGGTGTTCGCTTTCTCTTTTCGATAACTTCGAGGAGTTTTGACCCTTTCCTGCTCTCCTTCGCCACCCCGCGTCCCCACTGCCCTGGTTTTGGAGATCTGGATTACTCAAGGTGTTGACCTCTCCTCACTTTGGTTTCCATTTACCCCACGTGAAAGCCCCGCCAGTATTCCCGCCCCGTGTAGCTTGCACAAGGAGAGTTACTATCCCATTGCAGGGTGAAAGCAACTATCCAACTTCTGTTCTGCTAGTGATGGAACTTAGCTCCTGAGCTTATGAGGTTACCCGTCTTTTCCTTCGGGTTTCCTTGTGTCCTGGGGACGGAGGAGGTTTTTTTTTTGAAAAACATATTTTCCCTTCCTACCTATTTTTATCCGAACATACCCATTAAAATGTGTTTCTAGTGAAGCGCACCGCCAGCTCTCTCACATTTTAAAAGTGAGACTTTTTTTTTTTTTTTGTCAATTCCACCGTCTGGGTAATAGCTCATTCAAAGAGAACTATACAGTCACTGTCAGTTTGTACATTAAGCGTGCATTCGCTTTTGTTAATTTCACTTGTAAGAAATCTAAGTTAGCTTCCACGACTTGAGAGAGAGTTAAACAATCCCAACAGTAAGTGTGTAGGAATTTTTATGCTTTCTTTTGGCTTGTGTACTTTCAGTTATTTTACCCTTCAAGTGTGTGGTTGAAATTGTTTAAAATAGCACTGTTACAGCTAAAAGCAGGTTAATTCTAATCCCCATCCATTTGGATGTGTGGGAGATGGGGCATATGGTTTTTTTTTTAATGTGTAAACTGAGTGTAAACTGACTTTTTGAGTTAAATGCTAGACAGAATGTAAAGCCCGAGAAAGAGCAGAATGACAAAGAGGGCAATTGTTTTTATTATGAGTTCTTAGCATCATCAACAACAAAAATAATAGAGAAAAATTTCTGTGAAACTTCTACTGAAAACCATCAACCCTTTTCCTAGCTAAGACAAATGCCCTTTGTCCCCATATCATAAATACCTGAATTGATGTTCTTTTCAAACTGCTTCTTTTCATTTTGTGAGATTAGGGGATTAGACTACTACTGGATGAGTATAAACACTTCTGCCTAGACTAAAAATATTAAATTAATATGTAAAGTGCAAATTGCAATAAAGTGTCCTGGAAATTGTAATTTTGTATCATTTGTTTTCTTTGGCTTAATACTTTAAATGTATTTAAATTTGTATTTTTTGCCACTGCTCTGTGGTCTGTGCATTTTCATTCAGACTTGGTTCATCTTTGGGCATTTATTCATAAAAAGCATGAAAGAGCAATCCCGACTGACACTTAGCCCAATAAATTAAATGTTTTGAAATTTTCATAGTTTTAATTCTAGGAGTGTAAATCCGAAACCCACACCTTTACTTAGCTAATTTGTTTTTTGGTTAAGAAGTCAGATTCATTTTAATGAAACTGCCATGTAAAAAAAAAATCTATGAAATATTTATTAGCTTGAGTCACTTATTTGTGACTTTTCTGCCTTCTCTTGGATGTCTATGATGTATTAAAGCCAGTCGTGGGATGATACATAGGTTGGCTCTGAAAAGTCATAGGGCTGCAAAAATTCACTCCTGTTTAGTTACATGAGTTTGGCAAAGGCTGTTTTACTATTCACGCTCCATTGCTCCAAAGCATAGGAGAACACACTTTCAGGACGTGCTATTTTCACACATTTTCAAGTGAGTTTGGGTTAACTGAATGACTATCACGAGAAGTTTAAAAGGAAAGTGAGCTTGACCAGTTCACATGGAAAATGCTTTTGACACTGTCATTTTAACAGCGGCCACTTTGCACATGTTTTTAAGATATTGCTTGTCTTCGAATACCCCATCCCCTGGATTTCTTTTTCATGGAATTAAACATATAAGGCACACTTCTGACACTGCAGATATGTTGGAACAGTGGTGAAAGAATCATAACCATTACCATCTAGCAGGCCTTGAATGTGTCATGTGTTCAACAAAACAACTAATTTAGAAGAGACACTGATCACGACCAAGGGGAGAACAAACGTTTACTTAAGGGGAAAGAGGACTGCGTCTTATTTTCATTTATCTTAAAGTCAGTTTTGAGGTGTACTGTGGAAAATTCAAGAAAATTTCCTAAAAGCAGTGTTTGATTGTGGGGGTGAAATAACTAATCACTTGACAGCGCCTTCATAACCACCACATATTTTCTGTTTTACATGTAACATTTAATAGCATCGTGTACTTACCAGTGGCTTTGTGCTGGGAGGGGGGGCATAAGCTGTAAATAGACATACTGCTTCCCCCCACCCCTCCGCCGAGTTATTAGGATCATGTCATGAGCAGCAGTGTTTGAGGTCTTGTGTCTGTCCACCAGAAGACATGCTTTCAACAACTCACATTCTCATGTGTAAAAGCACACCGCTTTTACCCCTTCCCAGGGCCTTTCTGTTACAATGTCTGTTACAGTGTCTGAAATCTGCCTTTTATAGGTATAGAAGTTCTAGATTAAGTTACCCTTCCATTCTGAAAGATTATTAGAAATTTCTTCTATGTGTTTCAGGCTTGGGGAAAGGATGTTAATATATGAACAAGCTGTGTGGATAAAAATTCTTCACTGTTGGCTGCTGTTTCTTGGAGTACCTACTCACTGCACAGAGGTGGCACTAGCTCCAGCTTGGGAGGGTAGAGAAAACTTGCTTAATGGAAGACAGATAACATTCATGTTAAAAGTTAGGGATGCATTGCTAAATCCTTGGTCTCCATTGTACAGGTCCATTTGCCGACAGAAACAAGGTTTAAGACATGATTTTAAACGGGACTTTAGTTGCATTGTACTATTGAAAATACAAGCTCTTGGATTCATTCATATGTGGGAACCCAGACAGGCATGTTCTAGGAAACCATTTCCTACAATAAAGGGGTCCACTGTGCCAGGTGTTGAGCCGCTTAGACTCAGAGCAGCGGTTCTCAACTTTGGCCGCACATTGGAATCCCTAGGGAATTATTGAACCTATTGATACCTGCCCCCCAACCCCAGAGATTCGGATTGAGTTGGTCCTAGATGGGGCCTGGACATCAGGATTATTAAAAGCTCCTCAGGTGATTTTACTGTGCAGCTGAGGCAGAGAACCACCCGTTTTACAATAGTCAGCTGGCCCTTTCTCCCGAAATTCAGATGAACTTGGTCTGGGGCGGTGCCTGGGAACCCGTATTTTATAAGCAGCCCGGGATATTTTTGGTAAACAACTGGTTTCAAAAACACTTGCAGTGTGGCCTGCTGAAGACTTGACCTGGGAGCTTGTATGAAGTGGAGGCTCCCAGGTCGCATCTCAGACTTGCTGGATTCGAATCTACATTTGAACAAGCTCCCCAGGTGATTCGTCTGCACGTTAAAGTTTGAAGGGGAGTGGTTCTCCAGCTTTAAAACACATCAGAATCTCCTGTAGTGCTTGTTAAAACACAAATTGCTGGGCCCCATTCCCAGAGTTTCTGATTCAGTCTGCCTGGGGTGGGGCCTTGAATTTGCATCTCTAACCAGCTCCCGGGTGAAGCCACTCCTACGGTTCCCAGGACCACACAGTTGAGACCCACTGGGTTATAGAGTGGTGGGGACCTAGGAAAGTTGTGGAGCAACTATAAAGGGAAGGGCAGTTTTCACTGCCAGTTTCCAGTGTAGCACTTCCTGCTTCCATGTCACCATCCTTTGTCACGTTTTTTCTAACTTAGCACCAGGGAGATTGAACGCTGCCAAGATCATAGTTAGAGTCCCAGGTTCTTGGGACGGTTTCAGTCTGCAGTAGGGGGGAGAGGTGACTCTTAGAAACTGGTGGTATGATTTTTGGCCTTCCCCCCTGCCCCCCCAGAAATGTTAAACGTGACAGGCACATTTTAGGGGTTAAAAACAGCACAAATATGATACCTTAAAGTGAGTTGTATTGATTCTGATAAGTAAAGACCCCTTTTGTTGCCATAAAAAATGCTTTGATGATTAGTTCACTAAATAACACGTTGTGATAAGATTTTAAAAGCTTTTCCTTACACGTATCCTTGCCAGATTGGATTTTAAGAATTTCCCTCATTAACAAAGAAATATAAAAAGATCCTGCCAAGGCACTGGGGTTGTTCAGTCTTACATCTTGAATGCTGTGTTGCATGTCACGTCCCATGAACTATTTGTTTTAATCTCCTTACCACCTTTGAAGTTAATGCAGTGCTACATTGTGTATAGACCATGGCTCATAAAAGATACTTTATTATTAACATAAATACTATGGTTTTCCATTGCAATGAATGAAATATTTTTAAAAAATCCACCCCTGGATGTGCAGTTCCTGAGAGACTCTGATCAGGTGTTTGAACAGTTAACTCTTTCTTGTCTTGTCACAGTAGTCAAATTGCCATTTTCCAGCATACTTGGGAGGAATTGGGTGGTTTTAGAAAGGCGAAGTAGGTACTGTGTTTCACCAGAATAGTAACAGTCCTGTGACATGTTAATTAAAAAGGTGGTTGGACAATGCAGCTCAGGTCAAAATGATATTAACATAGTATTTTAAACACAAGCTATTATATTTCTATTGTATCTTTTTTTTAATGAAGACTGACCAGAAGAGCCAGAAGGTTTATCTGTCTATTGCAGATGATGCTACTGGACCAGTACAGATTTCCCTACCCATGTTGGCATAGTGGTTGGCATAATTTTTCTTCAAAAAAAAAAAAAAACAACCCACATCTTGCCTGGAAAATTGTTAACCACTTTTGAAGGTATT